GATGTCAATGATGTCAATGATGTCAATGATGTCAATGATGTCAATGATGTCAATGATGTCAATGTAATTGCTTAGCATATCTTGTAAAATATAAATGCAGTCCCAACTAGTATTCGCTTTTCATTATCCGTATCGTGTAGAAAAGCAATAGACAAGTCAATCCATTCTACCAGGCAACGGTAGGATTGGTAACAATTAGTGTCGCGGCTCAATAACTATTCCCCGATAATCACTTTACCTTAGACGAATAATGGTTAAATATAGCGATTTTTTTAGTTAAGAATTACCCATAATGCACAGATTATATTGATATTCACTTTATATGTAGAATTTTTGTAAAGCGCTGTATTTTGTATTATGCTTTGCGATCAGCAATATTATAAGAGAAGCAGAATATATCCATTTTAAATGTTTGCCATTCATGGTATTGCAATATTTTTAATAATCTTTTTAAATTTGAAATATTAAGATGATTTGTAGGTACAATTTGTAGCGCAAAACATAGAGAGACCATTAAGGGGAGAATAAAAAAAAGTTTTGTTTAGTTTCTTTTTTCTTTTTTTTCTTTCTTATAACCATTTCTCATGCCAAGGAAAAGAGTCAGAGAAAACAAGTAAGAAGATAATAAATTTGACCTCTAACTAAGATATCAGGATGCTTGGTTGGTTAGTTGATAAATTGTTCAAGTGCCTTGTTGCATGGTTGGTTGATTGCCTGGCTGAATTAATGGTTAATGGTTGACTGGTTGTGTGTGGATTAATGAATGGATGCATTATGGCAGACTTGTTTGGTGGATGGATTTTTTTCAATTTATTGGTTGCCTGAATGGTCTAGTGTAAGTTTAGAAAATAAGAAGAAGGGAGGACGGAAGGCAGCAGAGGTAAGGAAGGACTGAAAAGGGATGGAAAGAGGTCATGAGACACGAGAGGGGAATGGAGTAGCGTGATGGAGTGACTATGTAAGTAAATAAATATTTATAGTTTACTGGAAAATTCAAGTCATACCTTTTGAAGGTTATACATGCCAATAAACCAAATAGATTTTCGATATACTTACCTTTTCTTTTCACGTTTTCATTCTTCGACAAAACAAGACCAAAAGGCATAGAGCGCGCGCATCATGCGCGTCAAAGAACAACAAGCGATGGAAAAGATCATCAAACGTTTCCCATGATGTTTAAAAGGATCGATACCACATACACAGAGTGCTTCTCTAAACTTCATTTAATTTTCTCTAGATTGTATATATGTGGAAAAATCTATGACCACGTACTTAGTACCATGCAGGTTTCACTGATTCTTCAGCTCTTATTTACAATTTAAGAGGCAGTGGGAGTCCAATTTGCCGGTTTATTTTAAATTCCTATGAGTCTAAATTAAGAACAACAGCAATCAGTTCACCAAGCTTTCTGCTGCTTATTACCTTCTCAGGCGACGTCTCTTTTCAGTTACTTGCCTTGGTGCTTAGAGTTTTTGTGTGGTAAATAAAATAGACTCTGCCTTTATCGATCATATCGGCAATGTCGGCCACATGGGACACATGGGCCACGCCATCGTACACACTATTGCTTGGAACAAAAGCATTAAACCGTAGGAGAACGAGATGCATCAGCTGTCGACCTTATAGCTACACGTGGCAAGCTATATACATTAACACACTCATCTTACGTAAGTTTGTAAAACGTTTAATAACTTGATATTATTAACTTTGATATTTATACCGCGCATGCTCCACATGCATATGCCCAAATTTAAAAAAAAATATTCAAAAGTTCAACCAAGAATCAAATACCGACTCAATCATTGTCTGAGACACCACTTTTAATAATAAATTGTCTACTGAATATTGAAGCGCAGATAATAAGCAATTATTGGATGAGGTTGAGCATGATATCGTAAATTATCAAGACAAAGACTGTGTTATCTGCCGAAGCTGAAGAATGAGCATAGGTCTTGATAATTTACGATATTATGCGATAACCGAATTCAATAATTGCTTTATTATACATTTTGTATAGTGGAAAAACTGTACCATGAACATTAAATTATAGAGACGAGAATTGATTATGAACGCCATGATGTCGCGTGAATTTTTTCTTTTCTTTTAGGTTTTCGCTTTCGTTTTACTTAGTAAAATATAATAATATATAATTATTTCATTGAGGTCTTTATGAATTATATACTTACAAAGTCTCGAACAATGCGGACCATGTGGACCGAAAAGTAAACGGTAAGTGTGGATCTACGTAATTCTTACTAAATGAATTCTCAAAAATGACCAAATGATTCGACGATCGAACCGAAAATAATAACTTGCAACGAAAAAATGAATTAAAAAACGCGATTGGTCAATGTGATTTCGGTACCGAGAAGATAGGCAAATTCCAGGAATCAAGCCTAAGCTCAAGCCCATTTAGGTTTAGGTTTGGCTTCCGCTTTAAGCAAACATCTGCCGTTTCGATCTTCTAGAACGATGAATCAAGTGCTGAGTTATAACAAATTCCACAATAACTTTATATTTGGATTCCTAATAATCTTAAATATACCTAGAGCAGTCAAAGGTAAGAAAAGACCCTTGTACATCCCTGTATTTTACTTTAAGATATTCGATCATGGCCGATCTTTAATTTTTACCATGTTATAAAGAGTTTTTAGGGCAAATTATATGACGTAGCTGAAGCTAGACACAAAACAAAATGAAGCCATGGCCAAATGCTGAAAGGAATCGAGTAAGCCATAGTCTATTAACTATGAGTAAGCGGAAGACTTTATAACGAAAGCAGCTTTAAGCATAATTTCGGCTGTCGAGAATTCAAAATGATTGGAGAGGGAAAATGTTAAAATATGAAAAAAATAAATATTAATTATAAAAATCATATCTATCCATCCAGAGAGTTAATTAAGGAATCTAGTTAACTATAAATAGAGAAAACCAAAGCTCTCCTTTAATTTCTTTTTTAGTTACTACTATGCGAAATATTACCTGTTTCTAAACATAGAACATTATAGAACATTGACTCTAAAATGCATAGCATTAATCTAAATACCTTTCACACCTAGAAACACATCATTAATGGCGTGTCGAAGTTTATGACATATGTCTAAAATTTTCAAAAGAAAACCGGGGTCGTCCGTGTGGTTAATATTCTTTTTAAATGACAACAACCAAGGTTGTAGTAAAAGGTAGTAAAGTTAATAAACCAATAAAGCTTCGCAATCAGACTAAATATAACACTTATGTGGTCTTTGCCTTTCACGAGACTGTACCATTCTGTTTACCTGATTCTAAGGGATTCCCAGAAGTTTGATTGGGGATGAATTTTATTTTTTATTTATAATTTTCTGTTCGTTTCATTAACATTTTCTTACATACAAATTTAACGAATCCTTCCCTTAGTTTCCTAGTTCATGAGCTTCATAGATATAGGTTAATTACTTGTTACTTGTACATCTACAGACCAATATATTTTGAATCTGTTGTCTTGTTGTCCTTTAATTTTTTTCTACACAGTGAGTTGCAGTTGCATAAGTGGACCTAGAAATGTAGAACTTAKTGAAGGAGRCAGTGCTGAATTYATGTGGAACAATACCTGTGGAAARAGRATMATCTCAGCAACGTTTGGTATCCTCAAAGGAAACATAGCTGACCCACAACTAATAAATGTGGATATTATCAATCGAAAGATATATTTTAATAATGAAATGGGACCAAAATACAAAGGAAGAGTTAATTTTACTGGTAATTTAGCATTAGGGCATGCTTGGTTCAAACTCCAAAACTTGACAATCGGTGACTGCAATTGGTACATCGCAAGTATCAGTGATAAGATCACCAGAGTTCTACCATATTCTGTACTTTTAAAAATAATACCAAAAGGTAAGTATTATGATTATGTTATACATTGGTTTTGTCCTGTAATACCTAAAAAAGGCATGSATTGGAYTATCCRGTTACTAATTCCTTAATTTATTATGCCATTTGGTCCCCCTTTCCCTCCCTTTCTCCTTTCTTCCGTTACTCACCCCTTGCCTTACCTTACCTACCTTTTTTTCTTGCCCTCTCTCCCTTTTCGTGCTCCACAATCCATGCCTCCATCCCTCCATAGTATTCGCACTGATTCCTTCCTACCTCTTTTAAATTCCCCTTCCCTCCTTATCTCCCTTCCCGTCTTTGGGGCTTTATCTCTTTTTGCCTCTCTTCTTCGTCATTTCCTCGCCATCTACACACTACACTTCCAGCCTTCTTCCTTATTTTATCCCTTTTTACCTCCCAAACCTACCCATCTATCACTCTCTACTCTCTCTCCCTCTCTTAAATTAACTGATTTTGAATTTAAACAAATATGATATTGCTTACTGTTAATGTAAGTAATATGATTTTTCGTKAGTTTCTTGTTTGAAAACTTAATTGCTAATCAGGTAACTAATAATCCATTCGAATAAAGGAACAAAACATAATGTTAGAATAGCTAGATTATATTAAATGAACAATACCAATGTTTTTGTTGCTAGGCTGGATGGTTGGCCTTGTTTTTGTTGCCTGATTGACTAATCTTTGGGATGAWTGGTTAATTTAATTTGATTAATAGATGTGACATTGCATGCTTAGTTTCAAATTTATGAGATCAGAAATGTCCTGGTTAGTGAATTAATTTGTTATTATATGTAAACGGCGGGCATTCCTTCTAGTTGTTTTAGTTGTCTCTGATTTGTACCTACCCTGCTTTATTCAGAAAATGAAAACGCTACAGCTCCGACGACTACGTCGAACGCAAGTAGTTCCACAAGCAACAAGAATGCTAGTTATGCCGCTTCTTCAACACCTTCAATCTACACAGGTTAGCATGCATTATTCATATTCAACGTAAAGTATATTTAACGTGAAATGCAAACTTGCAACGCTTTCTTATATATATTTCTAGGTGCAAAAAAGTCAACGTCCACAAGAAACAAGATATCCATTGTCCTCCTTATTTTGATAATCACGTTAATATGAATTCATTATTGTGCAAGGTTAGAGTGTCTTAAGAAAAAAAAATTTAGAACATTTTTATAGAGAAGCACATTACTAGTTTTACAATGTTTTTATTTATTTATTAATTTCGTTTTCCCTCATTATCATTATTACTTCTAATA